TTCCTCCATCTTAACCATCCCACTCCCCCAAGCTCTTCCAACCCTCCCCTTCTCCCTTGTCCCCTCTCTCTTCCCCTCTCCCCTTCTCCCTACTCCCACCCTATACTCCCAACTTTTGCCTGGAGATCTTTTCTGCTTCCAATTTCCAGGAGGATAAATATATGTTTTTTTTGGAGGGGGGGGAAATCACCTTATTACTTAGCTTCTCTAGGATCACTAACTATAGGCTCATTTGTTTATGGCTAGAATCCACTAATGAGTGAGTACATACCATATTCATATTTTGGGTCTACATTATCTCACTCAAATAGTGTTTTCTATTTCTATCCATTTTCATGCAAAATTCAAGATGTCATTGTTTTTTACCGCTTAGTAATACTCTAATGTGTAGATGTGCCACACTTTCTTTATCCATTTTTCCATTGAGGGCCATCTAAGTTGTTTCCGGGTTCTGGTTATTACAAATAATGCTGCTATGAACATAGTTGAACAAATGCTAATGTAGTATGATTGGGCATCTCTTGGGTACATTCCCAACAGTAGTATTGCTGGATTATACAATGGAAGAAAGAAAGCATCTTTAAAAAATGGTGCTGGTATAACTGGATGTCAACCTGTAGAAGAATGAAAATAGATCCATATCTATCACCATGCACAAAACTCAAGTCAAAATGGATTAAAGACCTTAATATAAATCTGACCACACTGAACCTGATAGAAGAGAAAGTGGGAAGTAGCCTGCAATGCATGGGCACAGGCGACCACTTACTACATATAACCTTAGTAGCACAGACAATAAGAGCAGCAATGAATAAATGGGACCTCCTGAAACTGAGAAGCTTCTTTTAAGCAAAGGACACAATCATTAAGACAAAAAGGCAACCTACTGAATGGGAAAAGATCTTCACCAACCCCACATCAGACAAAGAAATGATCTCCAAAATATATAAAAAAACTCAAGAAACTAGACATTAATATTCTAAATAACCCAATTAAAAGATGGGGTACTGAACTGAACAGAGAATTCTTAACAGAAGAAGTTCAAATGGCGGAAAGTTACTTAAGGATATGTTCATCTTCCTTAGCTATCAGGGAAATGCAAATCAAAACAACTTTGAGATACCATCTTACACATGTCAGAATGGCTAAAATCAAAAACACCAATGATAGCTTATTCTGGAGAGGTTGTTGAGAAAGGAAAACACACATCCATTGATGGTGAAAATGCAAAGTTGTGCAACTACTTTGGAAATCAGTGTGCCAGTTTCTCAGAAAATTGGGAATCAACTTACCGTAAGTTGTTTCTATCTCAGATTTTAGTCCAGCTTTCTCTTCTGGGTCACTGTTCCTTGACACTCCCTCCCCTTGCTTCTTTGGAGACTGAATCCTGCTTTGTATTAAGCTTGTGTGTTTTTCCAGTCTCTTGGCTTTTTCCTCCCCGGTGTTAGATGACAGTCATAAGCTGCCATGCCAGGCTCAGCTTTTATCCCCAGAGCATTTATTCTTGAATATCCCCTGAGGTGGCCCTATACTCTCCACTGTCTGTACTTCACTCTTTTTCATGACACTCAGTCCCTCTTGCATACTGCCAAAGATAGCATGGACTAACCATGCACGGTTCCTGTGGTTTGATTTCTGACTTAAACGACAATGGTCACCAAGCATCCCTTTTGGAGGATGATGTTTTCCTATAGAATTTCTGAAGACAGTGACTTCACTGTCTTGGATCTCCACTGTCCCAAAAGTAGAAAGATCCCTAGGGTGAGGCTGCAGGTTGCTTAAGCAAGAGACTACAAGGACATGCTTGGGTCTCTGCTCTACCTTCTGACTTGGACGAGGAATACTGTATAACTTCAGACAGAGAAGCTGCATCTAAGCTTAATAACATCTTTTCTGTAGCCAGTGCCTATCAGCTAATAACAATGTCCTTGGAGAGCTACTCTGGAGGACAACATGGTGAAGACACTGATCCGCAGATGGGGAGTATCTTCAAGCCATGATGCTGTGTGGGTGGGGATGGACATAGATCTTGATGTGGCAGTGAGAAATCCTGTCAACAGAGGAATAGAAAGGAAGACCTGTGTAGGGAACCAAAACTCTCAGGCAGAGAAATTGTCTCTGTTGAAGTTTTATTGATCCTTGGAGCCAAGGCTCCCCACAACCCCCAGACTACAGCCTGAGGGTGGATCTGGCCAGAAGCAGAGTCCACTGCTCCCCAGGCTCTGTCCAGTTGCTCAAAGGGGTAAAGGGAGACTAGACAGGAGCAAAGTGCTCGAAACAGATCATCGGTCCTCTTCCTACCTTGGGGAGGACCTCCCTGTCTCCCAGGGTCACCAAGAGAATATCCATCCACATTGCTGGAGGCAACCCTCAATGTCAGTCCTAGGTTGTCTACATGGTCTGGCTGCATTGGCCAGACGCCCATCTGTCTGGCTCCGTGGGCCAGCCATTGGCAATGGCTGGGACAGACCCTTGAGTCACCACGTTCTTCAGTTGAGGACATTCAGGAACTGCCCCATCATCACTGGAGTCTGATTCTTCTGCATCACTGTGACTGTTCTCTACCATCTAAAATTAAAGCTGAGGCCTTGACAGCAGGCCACACACATATATTAGCTTTCTGAAATTATGGCTTCATGGCGGAATTACTGGTGGGAGCCAGATTTGCTCTCAAAACGATGCGGAGTTTCTAGATTCAAGCCACCTTGACAAGCATGCCAACAGCTGTTCATAAACACCTTTTAAGTGTTTGGTGACAGGGCCTGTTAAAAGAACTGTGAGGTTTTTGCTGATAAGCCTGAGTCAGGAAGATGCTTTTAAAGGAGCCACATCTCTGATTGTCTCTAGAAAACAGAGTCTGTTGGTGAAGAGACTATTACCAAGAAGTTGTACTTGGCTCTGCTCTTGTCTATTTAGAATCCTCTTTTCTTTTAAAGCTTTCTCAGGCTTTATCTGGAAATTTTGCCAAACACTTGGGTACCATTTTTACATAGAAGCATCTGTGTTACCTGGTCCCACAGCCATTCAATCACAAAGAAACAAACAGAGGTTTATATTAATTTCAAACTGCTTGGCCTATTATCTCAGGCTTATGATTAACTAGCACTTACAACTACGATTAACCCATAATTCTTGTCTATGGTTAGGCACATGACGTGGTACATTTTCTCAGTGAGGCATTCTCATCTTGCTTCTTCTGCATCTGGTTGGTGACTGTGTCTCTGTCTTTCCTCTCCCCAGAATTCTCTCTTTCTGGTTATCTGGCCTATACTTCATGCATGGCTATTGGCCAATCAGTGTTTTATTAAAACAATGCAATTGACAAATATTTACAGTATACAAAACCACTATTGCACAGTAGTTATTTAAACCTGTGAACCCAAAGTTTCAACATCATAGCATGATGGACTGGTAATATGACTTAAAAAAAAGTACCTGCCTAGAATGCAGAAGGCACTGTATTTCATACTCAATGTTGCAAAGAATTAGAGAGTGTTACAAATGAACATTTTCACAAAAGCATCTTTGAAATTCAATGTTTATTCTATCCCTTTCTGTCTTTGTGGTAGCTACATTTTGAAAGAATAATATTGACATGTCTCCAATTGAAGGCCACTTAAAGTACTTTTATCTAAAAAACTGTAGACTCTAAGGGCTAGGGAGATGGTGCAGTTGACTACAAAATAATAAGAACCTGAGTTTAGTTTCCCAGTTCTGACATTTAAAAACAAAACAGAACACTTGTAGTCCCAGTACTTCCTTGTGACGGCATTTGCCCATTTGATCTACCTAAATCAGACAGTTCTGGTTTTACTAAGAAACCATATTTTAAAAAACTAAGATGGAGAGGACTTAAGGAAGACATCTAATTTCAACCTCTGGTTTCCACATGGTGTCCGCACAGAAACACAGATACACATATAAACACAAAAACCTAGTAGTCTCTAGTTTCAAAGCATTATTAGGTTGGGAGAAAATTGAAGGCAAAGGGCAAAAGGGTCCCATATACTCCATGATTACTCACATTATTAATGATTTATGTAGAATAGAACATGACACAATTTATATAGGATATATATATATATATCCTATATATATGGGATATATCATTATTTAGTAAAGATAAAATAAAATAATACACCACTACAATATGATACTGAATTATTTCGCTTCCCTGATATTTTCCTTTGCTCCTGGACAACATATATGTCTATATATTTTTGCTTTCACTGTTTTTAGTAAAAGAAAGAATTTATTAATATTTTCTGTTGATTTTCTTCTGTTTCAGAGGAGACGAGGGACATATACACCACATACTATAAAAAAACCACAACCATGGGCAAAATAAATGCTTTGGACATATAGATGAATTATAAGAACACTTTTTAAAACATAATCTCTAGTACAGGTAGACCTTAACATCCTAAATATATAATGATGATCTTTATCGCCTGATTTTACTGTCTCTTGATCTTTCAGTGCTGGGATTAGAGATGCTAATAACAATGCTCAGTTTATGTGGTGCCATATAATCTGAGCCTTTGTGCCTGATTAAAAATAATTCAGCTATCCACTGACTATCCTTAACTACACATCCCTCAAGACAATATTTTTATCCGTAACTGAAGGTAAAAGTTTCTTAGTACCAGCTTGGTCAAGTCTTCCCAGAAGGACTTCATTTCAGAAGGGAGCCCTGTTGTCAGTGGAACTGGATGAATCATGCCACTAGGGACTGGAGAAGATGAGCCTCAAGCATATTTTAACCTTATATTTTTTTTTTACCTGGACTCCAGATGTGATGCCCCAGGATGAATGTTTTTCAGAATCCATCAGGGAAATATTAGTAATCTGAGTTGAAGGATCTTTGGGAATGAGAGTGGTCATCATAGCCAACAAAAACATTGGAATTTACATGAACAGGTACAAGTACTTGGGATATGCATACACCTGCCTGCTCTGAAAATTCAGACTCTACACAGTTTGACTTTGTAGATTCTTCCATGATGCTCCCTCTGCTTTTTATGTTTCTGGTTCTGCCATATTCCAGCTATGTTTCTTCCTTTGATCGTTCTTCCTGTGCTGCAAAGACAGGGGTCAGTGTGTACAAGGGTGGGGATATGGTGCTTGCTGCATTTTTCCCACTGCATACTATTGTATATGATTCCATCACTGAAGATCCAAGCAGTGCAGGCCTCTATCATCAGTAAGTTCATTTTTTCATTTCTTTGTTTTCTGTCATATTTTCAAATAGATAATGCCTAGAAATATTATATGTGCATACATCAGTGCTGTCTACATCCTTCATACCACTCTTTCAACTCCATATACCAAGAACTCTTTCTACTTTATTTTTCTTTACTAGTTTTATTAGGTTTTTTTTTTTGCTTCAAAAAGAACAAATTTTTTTTAGTTTCCTTCATTCTACCTTCCCCTTTCTGAGACTCAATTCTTTCTTGATCATTCAAACGTTCCTGACTCTCTTCCAGACTGTGTTGTCACTGAATGATATCCAACAGTACTATTTACAAGCACAATACAAGCCTCTGGTATCGAATATTTTCAAAGAGTATAAGGAACAGTCTCTTTGTGAGTAGTAAAGGATCTTTTTTATCTGTTTATATCAGCATTTTGAGTTATTTGTATTAATTTAAGTTACTTGTACTTATATTGGTATAAAACCTCTGTCAAATGTATACTTGATAATGATTTTCTTACTCTGGGCTTTTTCTTCACCTGTTGATTACTGTGCAGAAGATTTTTAGTTTTATGAAGAACCAATTGTCAACTATTGGACTTAATACTTGGACAGAATCCTTCCCTACAATTCTAGCATGATGGTACTACCTATGTTTTCTTCTAGCAGTTTCTGTGTTTCAGACTTCACATTTACATCTTAGACCCCCCATTGAATTTAGTTTTTGTACAGCCTAATAGACACAGGTTATTTTCATTCTTCTGCATGTGGACATCCAGTCTTCTCAGAACCATTTATTGAAGATGCTTTCTTTTTGGCATAGGTTTTTTTTTTTTGGTATCTTAGTCAAGTACTAAGTTGCTGAAGTTACATGTACTCCTGTTTGGGATTTGATTTTGTTCCATTGGTCTACATGGATGCTTTGTGTCAGTACCATGTCTTTTTATTACTATGGCTGTCTAATATATACTAAGATCTGGGATGGAAATCCCTCCAGCATCATTCTTTTATCTCAGGATTGTATTGTGGTTTTATATAAATTATAGAATAGATTTTTATTAGTTATTAAGAAAAATAAGGTGGGATTTTAACCTAAATTGCATTGAACTTCATTCCCTAGTGTCTTTCCTTCTTCAAAAGTTAAATTTCATTAAAGAAAACCTTTATTTCCTTGGTTACACTTTTCCTAGATAGTTTTCCTTGAGGGTATTGTGCATGTGCTCATGATCTTCTTTTTTGTATGTTTATTGTTGATGTATCATAAAAGCTATTGATTATGCAAGCTGACTCCATATCCTACTTTGTTACTGAATTTGATTATCATTTCTTTCCTGGTAGAATTTTTGGGATCTCTATTGTATAGTATCATGTTATCTTTCAATAATAATAGTATACCTTATTCTTTGCTTACTTGTATTCCCCTTAATTCCTTCTCTAGCTAATACTTCAGGAACAGTATTTAAAAGTAGTAGAGGTGGTAGACATTCCTGACTGAATTCTGAGAGGGATTGTCTCCATTTATGTTGATGATGTTGTCATCAGGGTATATATAAATATAGTTAATCTTATTGTATTGAGGTATGTTTCCTCTAGCTCTACAATTAATGACCTTGATCTTTAATACATGAAAATGTTATCAAAGATTTTATGCATCTATGGAAATAATCATGTGATTACTATTGGGCATATATCCATTATGTGATTTATTATATTTATTTACTTGAGACATAGGTGGAACCATCCCCACATTTCAGTTAGAAAGCCAATTTGGACATAGTTGAAGACTTTTTATTGTATTCTGCTTGTAATATTTTGTTGACTATTTTTAATCTGTGTTCCTCAGGAATATTGGCCTATGCTGTTGCTATCTGTTTTTTTTGTTTGTTTGTTTGTTTGTTTTATTTAGTAGAGTGATACTGGCTTTGTAGAAGTTTGGGAGTGCTCATTCTGTTTCTTTTCTCTTTTAATAATTTAAAAAGTATCTGAAAGATTAAAAATCTGCAAGAATTGTGTTGTGAATCCATCTGGCCCTAAATTTTTTTGGCTGAAAACTTTCCATTATTATTCATTCTCCTCATTTTTATGGTTCTATTTAAATGTTTTATTTCTTCTTGGGTTAATTTGGGGATTTGACATAATATGGAAAATCATTTACTTTTTAACTTTTCCAAATTAATGAAATGCAGTTTGTAAAATTTTCCTTCATAATAGTATCAGACATAGGTGGAACCATCCCCACATTTCAATTAGAAAGCCAACTTGGTCATACTTGAAGATCTTTTTATTGTATTCTGTTTGTAATATTTTGTTGACTATTTTTAGTCTGCATTCCTAAGGAATATTGGCCTATGCTGTTGCTATCTGTTTTTTTTTTTTTGAGTACAGTAATACTGGTTTTGTAGAAGTTTGGGAGTGCTCATTCTGTTTCTTTTATCTTTTAATAATTTAAAAATGATCTGAAAGATTAAAAATCTGCTAGAATTGTGTTGTGAATCCATCTGGCCCTGAACTTTTTTGACTGAAGACTTTCCATTATTATTTTAATCTCCTCATTTTTATGGTTCTATTTAAATGTTTTATTTCTTCTTGGGTTAATGTTGGAGATTTGGCATAATATGGAAAGTCATTTACTTTTTAACTTTTCCATATTAATGAAATGCAGTTTGTAAAAATTTTCCTCATAATAGTGTCAGTTTCTTATGTACATGTTATAATCTTTCCCTGTTAGTTGCAGATTCTGCTAACTTGGTTTCACTCTTTCCCTATCTTTCTCTTTTTAATTAGAAAACAAAACAAAATATGATAATATTATAATATAATAGTATAAGATCTTTAAAAACAGAATAGGATTAAACAAACAGAAAAAAATGTCTAAAGATAAAGCATAAGACCTTACAGACATAGAGACAGCTTCACACACAGAGAAAATCCATAAGATAAAATTTGAAATTATTATATATGTGTTCGTATATATAATATATATGTATCATGTGTGAAGACAGAGAGACAGATAAACAGTAGATAGGGAAAAAGAAACAACTTTAAGAAAGAAATTCCCACAAAAAAGGATTAGAAAGAAAAAAATCTCCAAAAATATTAGATTCATTTTGTGTCGGCTATCTACTGCTGGACATGTGACATTCACTTAAGTGGGGTCAGTATACCCAATGAGACTCCATTGGAAAACACCTGATTTTTCCTTCGCCAGTGGTTATCAACTGGAGATAGCTTTTGAATTAGGGAATGGGGCTTGTGTCTATGTTGACTTTCAGTGCTGAGACCGCATCTGGATTAGACATGTGCAGGTCCTGTGAATGCGGCCAGACTATGTGAATGTGTCTGTGTGTCAGTCCTGATGTGTCTAGAAGTGACCGTTTCCTTGGAGTCATCCATCCCTTTTAGCTCTTACAGTCTTCCTGCCTCACCTTCCATAGGATTTCTGAGTCCTCTGGAGATGTATTTGTGGGAGACATTTCATTTATGACTGAATGTCAAAGGACTCTTTTTCTCTGCATATTTTATGTTAGCTACTTATGATTTCATTTTCCTCTCTGTCCTTTGTGGCCTATATATTTGACCCATCTCATGTTCCGTTTTACCTGAGATAAAGTTTGAATCCCTTAGACATGAACATTAAGTTGCTGAGGACATCAACTTGGATGACAACTTTCTGGTACAATTATTGTTATGCTCTTATCTGTGTCAACCAAACCTTCAGTGACAAAGTCATTTGTTTTTTAATTTTGGTCTTTGTTAATTCATGGAAGTTTACTAAAATACTCACTTTATGGTTTCTCCTGATTTTTTGTTCTTTCTTTTTAGTTGTTATATTATCCAGATCAGTATGGTTTCTGACAATAGGCATTAGATTCATTGTGCTCTGGGGAGGAGTTTCCTTAATAGTTACATGAGTCAACTGAATTGGATTTGACATAGGGGTTTGTGAGAGGTCCCTCAAGGAGGTTCCCAATGCAAATCATTGCATTGAATGTCTCTTGTTTATCTACATTCTTTAGTCCAATGCCAGACTTTCCCATACCTTGTGTATAATCCAGAATGGAGAGACATTCTGATTGGATTATGCTTAGAAAAAAACATTGTTTCTAGGAATGCAATGTTTACAATCTCATTTAAGATGACTTGTTTGCCAAAATTTAAACACATTATATTTAAATTTTGCCTTAAACCTCTGGAAGTCAACTCTTCTATCCATATATCATCATGGTTATGAGATTTATTGTATCTCAGATGATGTGGGAGTCCCTTCTGTGTGCTGTAATTACCATTAATAAATAAGCTGCCTTGGTCTGTTGAGAGGGCAGAACTGAGGTAGGTGGGGAACACAGAACTGAATACTGGGAGGAAAGAGGGTGGAGAGAGACAGCATGGAACCACCAGAGTCAGATATGCCAAATCTTTGCTTGTAAGCCACTGCCACGTATTGATATACAGATTAATGAAGATGGCTTAAATTAAGATGAAAGAGTTAGCCAAAAAGAAGCTAGAGATAATGAGCCAAGCAGTGATTTAATTAATACAGTCCCTGTATGATTATTTTGGTTTTAGGTGACCAAGACAAACAAGCGGCTCTTGCAACAAATTGGCACCCAATGTGGGGCCAACTAAATTCACTTAAAAGTTTGAGAGAGTTTAAAAAGAAATTCTAGACATACACAAAAAAACCACAGCTTCTTGCTGTTTTCTGGCAGCATGCCTCAGCTCCTTTAAAAGAGGTTTTTCTGACTCAGCAGCAGCAGCAGGCAAAAGCTGTGACATTTTGAAATATAGCTATTTTGGAACATGCTGAAAATGTGACCTCTGGCTTTTCGGAAGACCCAGTATTTGGATGGGAATGTCAGCAGAGTGCTGTGGCTTGCTTGATGGCAACTTGTACTGGGTGTTTTCCTGGAAATGGGCCTGTGTGTGGCTGAGAGGCACAAGCAGGTCCACCATGCTAGATTGAGCAGAGCAAGCAGGTGGTAACATATTTGACCTAGTAATGTCACACC